AGATGGGCGACCAGAGCCAAAAGGCAAAAAGGACATGGGAAATTTGCAACATACTAGATGAACATAATGCAAAGATGCAACAACTTCAAGCAGAGGGCAATGAAGGAAAAAGAAGAGTTAAAACTCAGTCAGGAAGAAAGTAAAGCTTGGTCGGAGTGGTTCTATTATGACATATAAATCCAACTATTCTATATTTTTCATATGAAATGTACGCCGCTCAGAATATAACGCCAACAGTTTTGGATGCCATGAATGGAAATGTTTCCGAATGGTATAACGAATGCGACAATGCCATTAGAAGGTCAGAAATAGTTCCTGGAACTTACGAATATACAACTGCTGTTTCTTATGGAAACGTAGGTGAGTTTGGAGAAGGTTCTTCAACAACAGTAGATATTGCTTGCGACAGGTTTCATATATTTCTATTGACAACTCTTTCTTATACGTGGAACAAGACATTGAAATAAAACCTTCTGCCAAGTTGTCTGACAAGAAAGGTTGCAATGGAATTTTCTATGTCGGATACCAATATGCTCCAGAAGTTTTTATGGATATAAGATATATTCTAACTCTGACTTAGTTCAAACAGTAACATGGGCAAACTATGAATGGTTCGCTTTGAGAAAACTCAGTACAACCACAAGCTAGAGAACAAACAGACCAGTATGCAACTATTGAGAAAATAAGAAGACTTGACCCTAACGTTCCAGGAGTTTATGTTAACTTTCTGGTTCAGATGGAAATGCTGTCACTAAAGTAAAACTGAAACTTAGAGTTCCTTTGTCATCTTTCCTCATCTTCAGGTTTTTTAAGATACTTGCCAAACTGGGCAGGAAAAATTTCTATCGAACTTACTCCAAGCAAAAATAACTTAGTCATTGCACCAACACAAGACCCATTCACTCTTACAGACGTAAAGGAACAAATAAAACGTCATTCGCCGAATTTTGCAAAGACAAAGTTGACTTAGACTTTGGTTTCTCAAACCTCAACACTGAAGTAAACTATTATTTCAATGCTGCTGGAGATGCTTGGGACCCAGTTAAGTTTACATGCGAAAAGTTTGAATGCAAGAGAATAGAAAGCAGACTTGCAGTCTATATGTTGGACCCAGATATTTCAAATGCTTTAGCTGCCAATATATTGCAGTTCCACTTATGTTCCCTATACACCAAATATCTGTCAAAGACTTTGCAGGTGAAGTTGGAAACCAAAGTGCTGACCCAGGTGCAAGAACAGATATTGCTTTAACAACTGCAATGAAACATGCAGATACTATGTTTGTACTGTTCAGACGAACTATAAATGACTATTCTTGTTTTACAACCCTGGTATTAATATCATATAAACATAGATGGCAAATACTATCCAAGAGAAGAATATTCTACAGTTGAGGATATGAGGTCATACAACTTGACATTAGATGCTATGAACTTTAACAACAACTTCACAACAACCATTAACCCTGAAATGCAAAGTTCTATTATGCCATATGTGAAAGTATGGACTCATACAGGAGGTCAAAAAACTCAATATACAAATGGAGACCGTTCAAACTTTTGGCTTGGCATTCCATTTGCTGACTCAGAAGACTTTATGGGTGGTATTTCAACTGTTGTACAGTTCAAATACAATATACTGGTGACAGAGACGGTCCAGATGAACTGAGAGCAAAGAAGTTTACAAAACCAATAGCACTTTTCACGGAAGATGCTCTTTTGAAGATTCGTTCGATGAAACCTGCTGGGGCTCCTCAGATTGGCATAACGACAGCTTCCATCGAGCAGATTTTGGCAGCAGGTCAGTAAGTTGTTCTTGAACTGACTTCTCTCCGTCAAATATTGACAGTACGCCAGTTTTGACATAAATTGTATATACTTTCCTTTAGAAATATCGGTCAGTTTTTGTTATATTTTTGTCTGCTTCAAGAAACTTTCACCATTTCAGTTATACCAACTTTCTTTGCTTTATGAAAATATTTTGGTTCAGCAAAGACTGCTATTCTATAACATTTTCCATTGTTTGTATAAAGAACTATTCTGTCAATGTATTTGTATTGTTTGTGTGTGTAAACTTTGTTCTGCTTCAATTCGAAGAGATACTCGAATACGTCCATCTTTTTATTCTAAGTAAAATGTCATTTCCGAAAAATAGAAGCGTGAGTGTTTCAAAAGGTTTAATGGCGGTGGCAGATGTGAAGTTAAATTCACCAACTCAAACAAACAGTCAAAGTGTTTGTTGTCAATGTCAAAGAAAGAGATGTTGAAGTGGGGAAACCATACGAAGACCAAGATGGTATAACAATAGTTCCTGTAAAAGAAAACCAACATACCCTGAAGTTAGCAGAGACTTAAGTTCTGTTGCAGATATTCGAAATGACTACCAACAACTTAAAGACAAACTTAAAACTCAGGAGAAGATTTGTCAAGCTTTGGGTATAATGTTAAACTTGGTTGAGCACAACCTGTAAAAGTGAACTCATATGTCATCGCACCTCATGAAATTTTGAAAGAACTATTGAAACTTTTGACAGAGGCAGACGATATAAACATCAAAGAAATAGAACCCGACATTGCTTGCTGTGGTGTTTCATACAATGTCATTGACAAGATATACGTTATGAAGGAGGTGAAACGTTGAACTTAAAATATAGTTTCCCAGACGTCATAAAAATATTTGACGACCACAACATTTCATTAAAGTTTGTTTGCTAAGTAAATGGCAGAAGACATAGTGGTTTATACTATTACGACTAAAAACCCTGAGTCATATAATTCTATAACAACAAACTTACAAAGTCCTCAAGGACGATATTGTAAACTGACCTTAAACACGATGACGACTAAAGCCTGTTTTGCTCTTTTGACACCAGAAGACTTTGTTGTTGTGAATGGTAAAAATACTTCTTGAAGATACTTACTCAGATATACCACAACAGGTTTTGTTGACTTATTTAATACTTTAAGGACGGAGTAACATGTGCTGCAACTAGAGCAGGTTTCATTATGTTTGGATGTCCGACTGAGTTTACTATAAACAATATGAGCTATAATACAAAACTTATTTCTGGTTTTACTACCAACAGTTTCCTATAACAGGAAAAGGTGTCATACAAGGAATGTCTGTTCCATTGACTTTAAGTACACCTATTTTATATTGTTTCAAACTTAGGTTCAAAGTGCTATTCGAATGTTGACAGAAACTACTATGACCAAAAGATACTCATGCGTATAAACAACACTTTCTCTGCTGGTTTGCCTATTGTTCATTCGAATGCAGAGTTTTCAGCTTTAGTAAACTCAAACACTTTAGCAAAATAAACTTAACCTTAGTTGACGCAAACTTTGTTCCTGTAAAACTTTTATGTCCTATGTATTTGTCAATGACGGCAGAAAGTTTCGAATTGGAAGATGCAACTGGTGAAAGTATTGTACTACAAGAACAACTTCAACAACAAATAGCTCAAGAACAACAAATGCAACAAATGGAACAACAAAGTCAAGAATAAAAAAATAATATTTTTTTTTATTTTATAAAAATGTACAGAATAGATGTTTCAGATTTTTATGACTTCCAAGCATTCAGAAATATGTGTCCATTTCGAGACTATAACAAAGCAGTCGAGAATTTGAAACGTTTAGTCATTTATGTTGACTCTGCCCCAGAATGTTATGTCATGAAAGAATGGGATGTTGTCTTTAACAAACCAAGAGCAACAATAGTTTCAGAACAAGAATGTAGACAGAAACTTAAGAAAATAAAAGTCGTACAAGTTGGCATGAAGATGTTAGATGCTTGGGATATCTTATTGTCAAAGTTAGAAGATTTTTCAGTTCGAGGTATAAAGTTCTATACACCTTCTCCAAACTTCTATTCTATCTTCACTGGATATAAATACGAACAAGTAGAATGGAAAGAAAATGTTATAGAAGCTTGGTTAGACCATGTCAAAGAAATTATATGCAATGGAAACGAAAAGGTTTATGAGTATATCTTATGTTGGTTTGCAAACATCTTACAACATCCAAGTGCTAAAAATGAAACTGCTCTCATTATAATTGGAAAACAAGGAACAGGTAAGAACACATTCTTTACAGATATTTTGTGCAAACTGTTAGAGGGCTATTCGAATCCGAATATGACAAACTTAGAAAACATCTGTGGCAAGTTTAACTCCTCAATAGAGAATATGAAACTTATAGTATGTAACGAACTTCAAAGTATAGATACAACAAAAGTTTTGAACTCAGATGCTTTGAAGAGTCTTATAACAGACAAAGTTGGAGTTGTTGAAAGAAAATATAAAGACCAAAGAGTTTGTGAAAATGTTGCAAACTTCATTATGGTTTCAAACAATGCTGTTCCGATGAAGTTAGAAAGTTCTGACAGAAGATATGTAGTTGTCAGAACGTCAGATTCTCATATGCAAGATACAGAATATTTTGACGACTTAGCAGAAACTTTGACATCTGACTTTTACAACCACTTGTTCTCATATTTTATGACATTAGATATTTCTAAGTTCAATCCAAGACAAATTCCACATACCGAAGAGAGACAAACATTGTTAGAAGCAAACAAGAGTGTTTATGAACTGTTTATAGATGAGACTAACTTTGAGTGTTTAGATGAAAGGTCATTGTACGATGAATATAAACAATATTGCCAAGAGTATGGTTATATGACAGCGTCTAAACGAACATTCTTGGCAAATGTCAAAAATCTTTTAGATGTTCAGAACGGCGTATATACAAAGAAAAATTTTTCTGAGTAAATTTTAAAAAAATATTTTTTTATCCGATAGAAAAGATGGCAAAATTCATCTCAGTAAACAAGTACATGACAGAAGTCAAAGAAGAACTAGACCCATTCGCATATTTGAATGTTTACTTCTACCATTTTGAAAAGTCTACATTTGACAAAGTTTGGAACATCGAACCAGTTAAGTTGCTATTGTGACTAAAAATGGTGCGAAATTTGAAGACTTAGACATTGACGGTATGTTGACAGTCAAAGAAAATTTTGACAGAAAGTTCTCAAACCTTAAAGAAGGCAAAGCATACAAACTTGTTATACCTTATGAACCAAAGAAGACAGACGACTATGAATATTATGAGTCTAAGATAGTTGAAGTTCAAGGTAAATTGGGTAAAAAGATTTTAGAGTCTAAGCCAGTGTTTGCTCCTAAAGAGGAAGAGAACATTGACATTGACCCAGAAATGTTCTAAAAATAAAATTTTATTTTTACATGTCAAATTTCTTTTTCTCTGGAACTGGTTCAGGTTCTTTCTTCTCTTCTTCTACTTTCTTTTCTTCTTCTACTTTCTTTTCTTCTTCTACTTTCTTTTCTTTCTTTTCTCTCTTCTTCTTCTTCTCTGGTGGAGTTATGTCAAATTTGGCGCAACCATATTTATGTAAAAGTTCTTTGTCCTTTAATAGCTCTTCTATTCTGTTTTCTATTTCATCTTCAAGAACAGCGCATGTGTCTTCTTTGCATTCTAAGAACTTTTGTTGGACTTCAGCTTTCCAATCGGCGTCATCTCTGTCAACAAGTCTGTCATTGACAAATTTTAAGACTTCTCTGCTTAATGTTTTATGGTTCTTGTCATATTCCCAGAAACAGAACTTTAGAACAAATTCACCTTTCTTGTTTACACTATGTAAGATTTTATGGTCTACAGATGTTTTGCTGTCGAAAAGCTTGTCTCGAATATAGATAGCGAAATCGCTAGACATTTCCTAAAAGATAAAATTTTTAATTTTTCTAAAAATATGTTAGAAAAAAAGTTTGCTGACATTGACAAGAAATTTGAGAATGTTTTAAACAAGAACAAGAGGAAGTTAGAAAATGCTCAGATAAAGCCTATACATGACAAGTTCTTATTTGCTCAGAATGGTATAACAGGTCTAATTGCACCGCCTGGGTCGGGTAAGACTTTCACTTATCTTAAAATGGCTGCACAACAACAAGAACTAGATGAGAAGAACCCATTCTATGAGTTAGTTGTTATTTGTAGTACTTCTGGTCAATTTGACCAAACCGTCAATTCGTTCAAAGATATTATAAAGAAGTCTAAGTTAGTATGTATAAAAGACTCTGAGTTGTTGGATTGGATAAAGAAGTACCAAAGAAGAGTTTTGAAGTACAATGCTATAAATGAGTATGTCAATTCGAAGTTTAAAGACCCAAATGAGGAAATGCAGAGAATATTAGAGAAGAAACACTTCAGAAACAAACAGAAAGAGATAGAATACATTTCGAAGAAATTGCAATCTTACGATTGGAAGACTTACCCTCATAGATGTCTTCTTATCTTAGATGATTTCGCCTCTCATCCTTTGTTAAAGAACAGAGAACAAGACATGTGTCGAATTCTTAAGAAGCTCAGACACTTTAACATCTCAGTTGTCATTTGTGTACAGACAGCAAAGAGTTTAAGTAAGGATGTTAAAAGAATACTTACTGATATCATACTTTTCCCCGGATTGTCCGAAGACGATTTCATGGAACTTATGAAAGAGTCCATGGCAGGTAAGTTTGACAGACATGAACTATGGGAGAAGTACAAAGTCATACAAGACCCTCATACTTCTTTCAGAATTCATATCTACGCAAACAAAGTTCAAATTGTAAAAAGTCAAGCTTGAAAAATATAAGTGTTTAGTCTTAGTCTGTTGTGGTGCTGGGTCTGTCGGTTCTTCTGGCTTTGGGGCTGTCGGTTGGTGGTACGTCGGACATTCGTTTGTGTCCTGTCGGAAGGAAGAACTTTTCCAGTTGTCGGGAAAATTTTTTCCAGTTGTCGGGAAAAATTTTTTCTGTTGGAAGGAAAAACTTTTCCTGAAGTTCGACCAAAAAGTTCTCAATTTTCGAAAATTTGAATGGTTTACGGACGGACAACTGGAAAATTTTTTCTGTCGGAAGGAAAATTTTTTTCTGTCGGAAGGAAGAACTTTTCTTGTCGGAAGGAAGGACTCGGAATGCCAGAAGGATTTGACAAGGCAATATACTTTATAGAGCTACCTGAGCCATCTGAAGTCAAGCTTGAAAAATAAATGGCTCATTTACTCTACTTGTTTGAAGTTGTCAAAATACTCTGTTATTTTTTCCTTTAACAATGGCAAATCTTCTTTGAATGTAAGTATTGTACAACCTTTCATATCATAGTGTGTTTGAGGTAAAGTATCTTGAACTATTTGTTTCACATCTTCATTCGGTGTCATTGAAATCGGTAAGTTTTCGCGATAGAACCAATTTCTGTCAGATTTGTAAATCTTAGCAAGGTCGTAAAAGCTTTTGTTGTTTCTTCTGACTAAATGCAACATAACCATATCTTTATCTTCTTCATTTTCCATCTCTTCAGTATAAATCATATACTTATAGTTCTTTTCCTTTCCTTTTGGTACCGAACGTGGTATTCTTTTCTGAATGCTTTTGTCTTTTGCTTCAAGCTTGTTTTCCATCTCTTCACGTTCTTGTCTGTGAAGTTCGTCAAGAAGTTTACAAACATACCATGAATAGCGAGCTGAAGCCCATTGTGCCACATTATTTACGAGAAGTCTATGAACATAATATCCTCTCAAACCATTTGGCAATTTTTCACGATTTTCATAGAGTTTTGGCGACTGGGGTTTTTTCCCCACTCGCTGTTCTTCACGATTTTCATAGAGTTTTGGCGACTGGGGTTTCCCTCCCACTCGCTGTTCTTCACTGTTTTCAGAAAAAAGTATGTCTCGCTGTGCTTCGCTCAAAAGTTCTTGTGTGCTTTGGTTCCTAAACCAGTCTTTAGGAAGCTTAGTATCTGGAGCAAAACATGCTGTCAAAATACTTTGCATTTGGTACATATCGTCTTTGACCGAACGAATGAGACGGAGTTGTTTGTTAAACTGTATGTACTCATATTCTTCATTTATAGCTTCATGGACTATAACTGTTGTTGTGTTCTCTGTTGTTGACATATCTGTCTTTACATACAAAATAAAAAAATAAATAAAAATAAAACTAACTTTATTTTTTTAAAGTTTGGTCATCCTTCACGGTATGACAAATATACTATATTTTACTTAAAAATATGCAAGCGGCTCATAGCTCAGTGGTATGGGCTACCTCGTTAAAGGCGTCGAAGACCTCGGTTCAAATCCCGATTCGCCCAGGTTTTTTTCCTTTTATGCAGTGAAATTTCATGTACATAGGTTACTTTGGTGTTAGACCCTAGTGAAGAAAATAGAACGATATAAGTTTACATTTGTAAAGTTGGACGATAAAAATCTCTGCTCCTAGCAGTACTGCTACTGTCAGTAAAAGTACTGCTACTGTCAGTAAAAGTACTGCTACTGTCAGAAAAAGTACTGCTACTGTCAGTAAAAGTACTGCTACTGTCAGTAAAAGTACTGCTAATGTCAGTAAAAAGGAAAATTTGAGAGGGTTTTCGACGATAAAGTACTGCTACTGTCAGTAAAAGTACTGCTACTGTCAGTAAAAGTACTGCTACTGTCAGTAAAAGTACTGCTACTGTCAGAAAAAGTACTGCTACTGTCAGAAAAAGTACTGCTACTGTCAGTAAAAGTACTGCTACTGTCAGTAGCAGTACTGCTAGGAGCAGAGATTTTTATCGTTGTGGTCCGACGGTTAAGCCACAGACGAATGTCCGACGTCCCACCAACCGAGTCCAATCTCAAACCAGAGGAACCTAAAGCACCAGCCCCTGCACCTCAGTTCCAGCAATTCCAATCTCAATCCAAATTACTACCAATTTCCACCTCAAGGTTACTACCAATTTCCACTACAAGGCTTCCCGAACTACCCTCCTCAGCCTATGCCTTACTTCCCCAACCCTTGGATGTTCCAGCAAGCTCCACCCCAGCAATTCCAATCTCAATCTCAATCGAAGAGAGACCAAGACTTCGAAGAAGGTCTGAACCGTTTACGCAAAGATTATGCCACAGCTCCAATTGAGAGAAAGTTGTTCCCGGACCAAAAATATAATTTAGGTGAAGAGGTGACATCTCACCCGTTTTCTCACCTGTTTTCTCACCTCTTGAATTTGTCAAGACTTCTTCGTAAACGTTATTTTTTAAATTTTGTGAAAACTCAACGGTTTGACACAAGCCCTAAAAATTATTTTACTCAGAATTTTGTTGCTGAATTCAGCAAAAATATATTTTAGGTGAAGAGGTGACATCTCACCCGTTTTCTCACCTCTTTTCTCACCCTAGTTATTTTATAACCGTTTTACATGAATTGTACGATGTATATTTGAAATCCTAAACAATTTCGTAGCTTCTATTTCTTCTGTCAGTACATCGAATGTTTTAACAATGCCGAAAGTTTCTTTATATTTCTTCTTGACGTCAGATAGAAGGAAATCTTCTGCTGTTGGATAGTTTTTGTTCAGAAATTCTAACATGTCCATTTTATTTTCTGCTGGTTTTTCTGCTTCTTTCTTTAAGTCTGCATAGTCGTTTCGCATACGTTCTATCTCTTTGACGGAGTAGTTATATTTCCTCATTGCTGCTTTACATTTTGAACATTGCGGGTTCATTTTTGCATTGTACATTGAAACCTTACCTGCAAGTACGACTAAGGCGTCAATGGTTTTTCTTTAAATCTGAAAGCAGTTGGTCTTATCTGTTCGTTCCATATTTTACCCTTCTGTCTTTATCTTTATCTGCCATACACATTCAGCAACTAACGAAACAAAGTTGTCGTAGGTCTTAAACTCCCCAGATTTATATATGTCAGAGATGTTCTTATATACCAATATCGCAGTCTTGTCCATGACTTTGTGGTTGCAATGAAAACCAAGGAATTCATAATTTACCTTTCGTATGAACTTCTTTATTTCTACCGAATCAGTTGGTTTCACTTCAATTTCGTCGAATTCAGGAATAGTTAGTTTTTTGTTGTTGGATTTCAGGTAGTTTAGGTAGATGGTCAATAAATCCTGCATTTCATAAAGATACTGTTCATTTTCTTCATCTTTCGCACTACAGTCTAAAATTACTTGTTAACAGTTCTTGCTTTATCTTCTGGATTTCTGTTTCGAAAGTATTGAAGAAGGAATGAAGCTTTTCATTTCTACTAACATTGACGTAGGATTCATGACTAACGAGTTTGGTGAAGTTGTTGCTAACATGTTCTTACAATAAAAATAAAAAAAATATTTTATAAAAAACTAAATATATTTTTTATCTTAAGGAAATTCATGAAAATCCAACGGTGAGAAACAGTGAGAAAACGGGTGACATCTCACCTCTTCACCTAAAATATATTTTTGTCGAAAAAATGGTTCATTTACTCACAATATTTTTGTACAAAACAACCCCAAGCTTTTAACCTCTCTTCTGCAGCTTCTAATGCTATCTTAGCGAGTTCATATTCTCTAAATTCTCTCTTTAAATCTTCTTGTTCCCATTGGTCTAGTTCGTATGGCGAGTCTCTATAACCAGAACATATCTCACGTTCATGTTCTATTTGTTTTCATGCATTTTTCTAACTTCTTCTTCGAACAAAGGTTTTGCATTCTCTACTGTATCTTCAAGTTCTTCTTCATCTAATTTCTCATGAACTTTCTTGTCTATGGAGTCCATAATTTTTCCAACTGCTATGCAATATTTTGGAGAAGCCCACATTGCTATATAGTTTACAAGTCTTGGGTCTACATACATTCCTCTAACCTGTTTGATTTCATCAGGAATTCCTGCATGAATTTTGTATAAAAAGCAACCCGCTGTTTTCC